ACAAGCTAGGATATGATGAAACAGGTTCATACCTCAACTGCTGAAAATTAGATCAGTAGCGAGAGTTTATTGTTTATTTTTCTTTGCCATGCCGCAGGCGCAACCAGGAACTGTTCGCGGTTAAATGCAGTAAACAATGCCGATTTGCAAAACCCGGAAGAGCATTTTCTGTCATGGCTGTCAGGATTTCAGATAGACGAAAGAACAACTCTGATTTCGGCTAATAAAGGTTAATAAGCCAGGAATGGTCATTCCAGTCTGCTTTGTCTTTGTCGGTAATATACTTGTCTATTTTACTATAGTACCCATTACGTATTCTCGACCTGAACCGGCAGGGCGACGAGCCCGTAGCTCAGTGGCGCTGAACTTATGGTCACCAGGTCGCGGTTCGAGTGACGGGTGGTGCACCACTTGGGGTTGAGTATGACTGAATGATGATAAATAATAAGCCAACAGTGACCATTCCAGTCTGCCTGGTCTTTGCCGGAAATTTTCATCCAATAAATCGATTCCTCTAAGCAAAGTCCACCGGCCGTTCATCACTGCCTCACAGAATACTGGGGTTTAAAAGGTAAATTAGTTGGTAATCCTAAGGAACTCGGAACATATCCCCGTCATTGGCCACAATTGTAAGCTCACGACCGTAATTTGCAGTAATTTTTGCAACTATATGTTAAAGGCCTCTTTATGCCTTCGGCCTGCCCTAAATTATACAGAAAGAACAAATATGTTATGGAAGTACGGCTTCTATCGTATGTTAAAACGTATCGATGAGTCCGACAAACGCTCCTACTGGTGAAAAAAATTAACAGAACACACTATTGTGTACCCAGCCGCAAAAACTATTCGATAAGTGTACTTATCTTTTTATATTAATTCTCCTAAGGGTTCGGAAGACGTGACAGTCCTAATCCGATCAAACACACTCAAGCTCGTACCTGCCTATCAATATACAATTACGCACAAGTTGCTCATTCCAACACTGCGAGTGTTGCAGGGTCCATAAAAGTAATCGAATTAACTGTGGTCCCAGGGCTCCATTCTAAAAATCACGATGTCTCGGGACTCATAGGATTCGGTCACCAGTTCGACTGTGCTGTCAGATCCGGTGTGCACTCGTGCATCTAGGAATCCGGTTGCGTTTTGTTCCCCATGGATACGTTTGTCTTACTTGCCATTCGGCCACTAGGGAAGTCTGCCGTCCGTCGGGACTTCGAAGTGATTCTTGGACCTTCGGTACTCGGTCTCCGGCGCGGTAGAAGAGACTGGGTAGAGCTCTCATGATCCGTTGCCACCAATCGTCACGCATGGAGAGGTACCGCCCGTGGCACCATCGAGGCCAGCTAGATCAGGTATGATTACTGCCGTACAGGGTAACCTCAGGCAAGAACAGTAAAGGAGTATCCTCAGAAGTACACGCACCCGAAGCAATTTTTCAAAATGTGGCGATAGGAACTCACGAAACAACAGTGAACGATTAATGCCCTGCTTGACGAATCTGGGTCCGGCACGACAGCTAAGTACGGAGGAATCCGAGGGCTTCCAATTTTGACGCACGAAGAGTCAATCACCCATCCAAAATTTGGTGCTTCATATTGATACACAACCCCTTACTAATAAGCTCCTTCCATCACCAACATGCCTTATGCTAGTGACATCACTGCGTCGCCGAATTATCTTAAAGAGAATTTTTCCACTCACTGTGAGTACAAAAAATGAGAAGTCCACCCGAACGAGCGCGGACAGAACCTCGGCTAGTCTTCCAGATGAATGGAATCTTTCTCAATGTTAGCCTATCTACAAGAGAATCAGCGCACTGGGAAGCTTGCCACAAAGCAAAAGATAACACATTTAAAACAGACAGATCGGTTTCCGGAGAATTTAGAGCGTAATATCAGCCTGCAGTCCTTTGTCGTTGACTGCAAGCGTCAGAAAAACCCCAAACTGATCTGTCATTGGGATTCTGAGTGGTCAAAATTCACCTGAAAATTACGGAGAACAAGTGTGTTCCCTCGGAGCTCAGCGGAATATCAAATGATTCGGTGGCGTATGAGGAACAACACTTCAGTCCAAATAATCATCAATATGGTCCCAAAAGTACAGTGCTCTGCATCCGACAAAAATCAAACCCGTAGTAATTCTGAAGTTCAGCCCATCAGTGAGACCCAAACTGTCAGTAGCCGTAACGCATAAATGACTGCTGCTACTAATCAATTCACGCGGGCCAATAACGTAATGACGTAATATTGCGCGACTCCCAGTGGAAATCTTTCAGGTTTTGCAGTCAGACAGAGACCAATAAGCACATCCCTTACAGGATCCCACGACCGGGAATATAACATGCGTTTTGT